ATATCTAGTTAAACACAGTGTTTGTGCCATATGTATTTGTCCCAGCACTTATTAAAATCTGGCTAGACGCAAGCCACGTATCATGCGCTAGTGCTTAGGCACAGTATATCGATGTTAGTACCCGTGACACGGCACGTTACATATGATTTTTCTCCGTCGCACTTTACACAGTCACACTGACTTGCGAGTGTCGTTATATCTGTTATCGCGTTACCTTGTTCGGCGCTGCAGATTGGATTGCCGGGTGTTGATGGGGACGCGCTACGGTTGGACCAGACAGTCAGTGAGAAGCTCGTGCGCACACTCGCGAGAACAAACAATCTCAACCAATGCACGCTGGGCCTACTGTCGGATGCGTCCCGGTTTGTGATACGTAGTCTAAATGCGGGATCTTGCACTGATATCACCGACGATGCTCTATCGGAGTTGTCTCGGCATCAGCTTAGAGGTGTGTGTGCGGAATGATTTTTTTTTGCGGTTTTGCTTAGGTTGTTCGTCTGGTGAAAGTGTTTGGTCGTGGTTAGTACAGAATTAACATGAGCGGAAGGGGCGCTGTCATATTGTCGTTCACGTACGACAACGGACAACGAGAGACAATGGGTCGTTTAACGTTTGTTTCAGGTTGTCGTTACTATCGAAGTGACATACCAGCACTGTATGCGCAGGGTTCTGTGTAGGCACGTTAGATTCGGTAGTTTATATGGGCGATAAACATTTGATAGTTCGCCAAGGCTACATATAGCATAAGTAGTACAATCTCTAAGTTCTGCTTGGCATCTATATGTCAATCCATTTAGTCCATTTAGTTATATACACCCATACGGAACACTGCAATCTGTCACTACAGCTTCCGTTCCGATGTAAACTACATCGATCTAAAAATGCAGATCCAGTATATATCTATATAGCTTTCGCTGAACTCTCCTCCCCACCCCTCCCACACAGTGCTACTACTGGAAAATTGCCGCTCGGTGACGGGATCGTTCCTGTGGTCGCTCGACGCTAGTCGTGTGAAAGAGCTCGATCTCGCTGGGTGCTCTCGCATGCAGACTTCAAACTTGTTGGCCCTGAATTCGTTTAAGTCGCTGGTGTCATTGAACCTGGACTCCCTACCGGTGCGTGTATAGGACTGCCTTGTGTGTAATTATGTTCACAATGTTGTAAGCGATGATTGTGCGTGTCTTGGGTTGAAGAGTGTACCATTGTGTGGATGGTGTGAGCGGTTGTTGTGCGTTTATAGGTCTGCGATGTATAAAGTGTATCTATAGTGTATTTATAAATTTATAAA